CATAACATGAAATGGAGGATAATTGCTACAGCTCACAAAACTGAGAATCGTGGTCTCGCCAAGTGAACTCTTGTGTGCTTGTGTGCTTGTTTTGTGGGACACAATTCAATGCACGACAAGATGCAAAGTGATCTTTAATAAAGAAAGAAAGAAAAGGTTTTCAGAAGTGATGGAAGTCTTTCCCTTACAGTGGGGATTAGATGAACCACGGAGTTTCTCCCTACGGGCTAAAGCTAGGGGATGGCTCTCTTTTACCATGGAAGGTCAAAAACAAAAACGGGTGGGGGTGGGGGTGAAGAAGAGAATAGAAACTCCACTTTGAAATATTTAAGAAAACATTTGACAAACACTGTTTTGTTGTAGAAAGCCAGCTCCCGTAGATTTGGGAGAAATACTCCCTCCACCAGTGATACATTGGGAATGTCAACATCATGAAGGGAAATCATTTTGAAAGACTATATTATGATGATCATAAAGCTGTTTATACAGATGTCAAATTTGTTCTGACCCAAAATAATTCATGTAGATTTCAATTCTTATCTCTGACTCTTATTACTTCCAATTAATCCTGTCTGTATAGAAAGAAGAGCTGTGTAACGCTTTCTGGTTTCCAATTGTCTCATGCAGGAAGGGCTGTTAATCTTTGAACAAGGGCACTTTATCCTACTCACGGTGATGGTATTGGCTGAAATGGGCTCAGGCTGGTATTAAGGAAGGCAGCAGAGCACGGTTGGAGAAAAGGAAGAGTAAAGCCTGCTATGGGTAGCTGAGCATCCCAACTATTCCACTCATGTATATGAAACCCATGAGGCTGATGGTCCTTTAAATTGTGATATTTCAGATCTAGTTGATTATGATCGCCTCAGTATTTCTCTCCACTGAAAACAGAACATAAAGAAGAAAACCACCTGAAGGAAGGATGTGAATTTTTGTGAAGATTTGAAGTTCTGTATGTGGATTTCAATAACCTAGATCCTTTTGTTCTTGTTTAGAAATTCAACAATGACTGGTGGATAGGGAGACTGGTGAAAGAAGGCTGTGAAATTGGGTTCATTCCAAGCCCAGTCAAACTCGAAAACATGAGGCTACAACATGAACAGAGAGCCAAGCAAGGGAAATTTTACTCCAGGTATGAGAACAACACCGAGAGTCTGTGTGAAAATCCAGGTGATGCCCTCATTCATGTGCTGTGGTGTGTTGCATTCCAAAATAGAACTGTTTTGAAATAATAGTGAATAAAATAAGAGCAGACTGCTGAAAGTTTATGGATAGCATCCCATATCCTGCCTCTTAAAGAGAGCAGTCTAGAATCTCATTTTCATCCTGTTTGAAAAACAATAAAAGTCAAGTGCTCCTTGACTAACCAGAGGTTGACAGTTCAGATCTACCAGTGAGTCCACAAGAATAAGGCCTGGCCCTCTGCTTCTGTAAAGATTACACTAAGAAACCTCCTTATAGTTCTCCTCTCTACTACATAAGGTTTCGGTGAGTCAAAAATCAGCCCCATGGCACCTAACAACAAGGTCACTAAGTATTAAATCCAGACATCAGTGCAGAGGAGACCCCGAAGTTCTGCTTTCTCACTCAAACACTCTGGCTCTGACCAAAGCAGCAGCGGTGACAGCCTGCGGTGTGAGCTGCCTGGCATGGCATGCAGACATTTTAGACATGGCTGCCTTAAAGATAATTGGCAAATGGCAGTGCTTTTCATCTGTGAATTTCATTTTCATCCGAGAAACAGGTTTGTTTTTTTTTGTCCTACCCATCTGCCATGCATGTAAAAGAAAACTTAAATATAAATCTAATTCAAATTGGCTTTGAAGCTAGCGCTTGGATGAGTTGTGTAATAGGCTGGGGCTGAAACATCCTTCTTAAGATTCTTGGGCTTGTTGTTTCCATAGCAAGTAAATTAGAAGATCTACTCATAACCTGCTAGTTACCGAGGAGTTGATTGAGTTGTTTCCGAATCCGAGCAACCTCTTCTGTGCCAAGTAGACCTGTGTTCCAGAGGATTTTCAATGGCTGAAATAAAATAAATAAGTAAAGATAGAGTACCAATAGAGTTTATTGATAGCATTACATATCCTGGCTCTAAAAAAAAACCATCCCAGAATAGCTCACTTGGAAGACTAAAATTAATTGTCATCCTTAATGAAAACAGCTAAGGTCATCAAAAGAGCCCTAATGGTTCAATGAGTAAATGCTCCATGACTAATCAAAGGTTGAGAGTTCAAATCCACCAGCAACTCCAGAAATAGGTTACCAGGCCTGTCTTCCAAGGCACTTCTGAGTACATGGGAACGGCACCCTTCCTGTTATCAGATGCATTCATGAAGCATTTGAACTACACAGGGGCTGCCACGCCTATGTACAGTCGATTCTAACTTGAACCATGGCAAGACAAGTCCATGGACATGGTATGTTTTTCCTGTGAAAGGATGTACTTATAGGTAAGGTTTCTGTTTTCTTTGGATTTATAGCTTAGCCTTTCAGATAATGTTGTAAATTTGATAGAGATCATATGAAGGAGCTTCACAAAGTTCATGGGGAAATTCCACCATCTTTTAATCCCATTTTCCACAAACTTTTTGAAGTCCTGTCACACTGTATTGGCCAAATGGTCTTTCAAGCAAATGAGGGAAATAGAATATGCTTTTTGGTTCAGAACATCTATCTTTGTTAGTTAACATCTATCACAGTCAAATTTTTTCACTTCATTCATATGAAAGCCTCTGTATTTTGAGAGTTCTACCACCTCTTTGACATCTACTAATTCTCAGTTTGCTCAAGGCCATTGGCTTGTAAGGTACATGTGTCCTGTAAAAGTAGATATAAGCAGATAAACAAGGCCTAAGCATTTTACCTGCAGAATGCTGAAGGTCAGATACTATCAACCTCTAGTGTGCTACAGACCTTTCTTGTAGAAAAATTCATTTTTAAGAATTTCAAGGATCATAGGTATGGTGCATAGGTATTGCTGTGTCAATTAGGTTTTAGTTTATTCAAGAGTGGAAGTTATCTCAGCTAGTGTACATATTGTTGAATTTTGTTTTCAGCTTGTTAAAGTTAATTCAGCATCTGTGTTAGTCTGGGTAGACTAGAGAAACAAATTCATAAATACGCATATGTATATGAGAGAGAGTTTTATATAAAGGGTAATTGTACATTAAGAAAACATCCCAACTCAGTCCAGTCCAAGGTCATAAGTCTGATATTAACCCATATGTCTGATAACAATTTATAAAGTCCTCTTCAGGCTCACGAAACGCATGCAATGAAGCCAAATGCAGGGTGATCACCAGCCAGTGGGTACAAAGTCTTTGGGTCCAGTGGCGTTGTAAGCATCTCAGTGCTGGCAGGGGTCTCTCTGTGGCTTTTCCAGCTTCCGAGGTCTGGTTGCATCCATGTGGCTTGTCTTCTGCAATGTCTCCCAGGGAGTAGCAGAGAGAGAGGTGTCTTCTGCCTCCAAGGAGGAAGTCCCATATTTCCCAGAAGTCTCATTGGCTATCTCCAGATTGACAGCCTAGACTCCACCCCTACACTCGTAATCCTTAAATTGACACCAGATTAGGTGACTACCACAGCATCTTTCAGAGTTTTCCACTTGATCTACTTTAGAAAAGGTACCTGATCAAATACGTTCTGGGCCTCTAGTAGGTAATGGAAAGTTATTTTAGGGTTTTTCAAAGGCTGCAATAGGTTCATCTGTTAGGAATCTGGTTGGAGAGATGAAGATAGTATTCCTGCATTTACTAGAATAATTTGAATCATAAACAACTCTTCTTGGCTCATGTCTTAGGACTGGCGTTTGGTAGGATGACTTTTCAAAACTTTGTGATGGTCCTTTTGCAGAGAGAGGCCTGCACATCTCTTTCTGCTTTTTCATATTCCAACAATTGAAAACTACTAAAGGAGTAGAAAGGGAGGACAAGTTAAAATTGTTAGGGAAACACATTCTTCCTCACCTCAGCTCCTTAGCTGAGCATTAGTACCCACCTCAACTTTCCTTTAGGATAATAGGAGATAATATAACCTCCACTTCACAGAAGAGAGGGGCTCAAAGAAGTTCAGGAAGTTGACCACGGTCACACTACTAGTTAGTAGTAGGACTAGCATTAAAACGCACTCAGTCGAACCATCTTTCATCAGATGGGAGACCATGCTGAAACTCTTGAACCCTGGAGTGCAAATCAAGGGCATTACATATTATATTCATTTTGGTGGTGTGGTTTTTTCTTGAAGGGATATAAAATATTCATATTTATGGAATGTAATATCTCAAATTATTTCAAAGACACAAGTTATCTCTTCTTATGACATATATTTTTTGCTTTGATTTTCTTGGTTTTATTTCGTTCAAGTTCGTTATTTAAATTTTTTGCTTAAGTAACGTTACTCCTGCAAAGTGATACAGTCTCAACAGCCCACAAGGGCAGTTCTACTCTGTCCTATAGAGTTGGTAGAGTGGATATGACTCGATGGCAGTGAGTTTGTTTTTTTTATATGAAAATGCTGGTTTTTGCCTTCAGATGTTTTTACATCTCTCTCCTAGAATGTTAAAGGTATGCTTACGCTGAAGGCATAGCCAGAATTTGGTAATGGAATGTCTATTTATTTAAAAACTCTGATACATCTATTATAAAAATGGGTGGGAATGAAGGGCAAAAAGAGTGGCAGTATTAAGGCCAAATATGTACCCTGCACATTTGGATGATTTTCCATCATCACTGCAAATAATATTTTGATGGAAATCTTTATGAGAGCAAACCCCCAGGTCTTTCTCCTGCAGAGCAATGCATTGCGTGGGTTAGAACAGACAACCTTTCCAATAGCAGCCGGGTTCTTAACCATTGCTCCTCTAGTACTCCTGCTTTCCATCTTAGTTCATTATTATTATTATTATTATTATTAATCAAGCTAATGCAGAGATGCAGGAATCCAACAAAAAGCAGTCGTGCCATTTCCACGTTAGCCTTAAGCTTGTACACATGGCCTCTCCTAATTAAAAAGCAACGGAGAGCTCTGTTGCTTAGCTACCTGGGAGCCATGCAAGGAAATTACCCGAGTTTCCTTCATTCCTTCAAGGCCTTTATAAAATTAAACCTTGCTTTTGAAAACTAAGACCTTTACCTCACTGTCTCAAATACTCCAGGAATCTCCACTGCAGACTTACTACCTGGAAATACAAAATTAAAAAAACAAACTTAAGTTCAAGAAAGAGACAACGAGTAGTCATGTGGAGCAATAGGATTGTTTTCAGATCGACATAACAACATGTCCGATTTAATGTACATTTTTGCTTTACTCTAGTAAATCAGGAGGAAACTCATTATCCAGTCTGGGAGACATAGTACCTAGTTCCAGAAAATCTACACCTCCGTCATCTGGTAAGTAAGGGGTCTGTGCTGAACGGTGCCCACTGCATTCCATGCTTCCCTCGCTCTTCCTGTTTTGTGCATTTACATACACTGAATTATGATTCAGTGGGGGTGCTACCCTATCCACGTTCGAAGGGATCTACTCAGTAATGAACATATTTATCTTTGGATCCCTTCTGGTCACCCTGATGCCCAGCACATTGCCAGGGGCAGTAAATGGGTGAAAACCCACACACAACAGCAATGCAACATGAGATACCAGTTTCACATGTTACGAGAAGAATGACTACTGTCTTCTTTCCAAAGCAAAGTTCCTTAAGATAGTTAGATTTTTTTTAAAATTAAGAGACCCAGTGAAATAGTAATTCCAGATAAGCAATGAAAAAAAAAGTCTAGTCTAAATAAATATTGCATGGGAAAACTTATCTTAAATGAACAACAAAAAAAAAACCTTTAGGTTTATCTGAAATGCAGATTTAACTGAATTTTCTTTGTTGAGTCTGGCAACCTTAACAGTTGTGTCGAGAATAGAATGTAACAGTCCTCCAGATCGCTGTGTATAGCATTTGTAGCTCTATATAAATAGAACGCGGCCAATTGGTGTGATGCCAGAAAGACAGTGATCAGTAGCTTAGTTTCCTAAGAGATGCAATTGGGAGTCAGAGTGAGATGATAAGACTTGATTGGTAATTAAGCAGCTGAGAAAAACAATTCTGGGTGTGATTTATGAGAAGATGGAAGTAGGAAGTGAGCAAACACAAAAATTGGGGTGTCTGTGGAGAGATTCAGAAATGAGTTGGCCTGTGACTTGCTGTAATCAAGAACAGAATTCTCCAATAACTAAAGATCACGTATCACTCCCGACCATGGACAGCTAGCTCTTAGACACCAATCAAGGGCTTCTTAGCAAAACCATGGGACTGTCTAAGTGAGTCCTATATAAGGAAATAAATGGTCCTAAAGTGAGTATTGGGTATACAAATCATGTGCAAGCCGTCCTTGGCTTGTGGATGAGATCCGTTCCTCTTTCTTTTAAAAACTGTGGGTTATTAGGCCCCAGACAATACAATTCTTAGCCTGACTTCAGTGCAAGCAAAAGCTTGACACCTTTGGGTGCTCTTACCCTGCACGTGAAACTATCGAAAGTGATTGTGACGGAGTTTGTTGCCTGTAGAGGCTGCTCTGGTGGTTAGAGCTTAGCTTGGTCTTTACATTTCATGTAAAGAGTTTCATTGAAGGAATAGAAAAAAGAAAACAAAACACACACACACAATGTGTGAAGTGGGAATCACAGTCCCTGGGAGGCAGTTCAGGGAGATTTTATAAGAAAACACAAGAAAGTTCAATAAAAATTCAGCAGTTGACAGCCCATGGTTACAGAACTGGGTGTATGTCGTCTCCGAATAATCACCAGACCTTTCTTCTGCGGCCCAGAGAGGCCATGCACACTTGTAAAGTGTATCTTGTGTGAGCATCTGTTCTCGGAATCACTCTGGGCCTGCTTTCTAAACAAGGTGTATCCTTAGACGAGCACAAGGCTTAATGTCCACAGAGCACATTGTGTTCTAAACTGTGTATCAAGTCATGTTCTCGGGGTACAGTGAAGACCCACAGGACTTGCAGGCTGCATTTCTCGGTGGAGAACTTAATTTGGGTTCAAGTGGAGTTTTGAGTCTGAGGCATCAGCATAGCCAGCAATGTTGTGAGCCCCAAATGGATTCTGAGGGGTTTCCACTGAAAAATCTGGGTGCTACTTGTGCTTAAAGCTTGCATTAATTCTTAGCTGTCCAGAGTGAAATGAAATCGTATGTGTGCAATGAACATGGATGCCTTTTGACTATTGCATGAAGCGTCTTTCTTTTCCTTTCAT